TTTTATTCAACTTGCTTAACTCTATATATTAGTTGGTGAGTTTAACATATGATTATTGATAACTCTTATTTTTACCATCTTTGTAGATTTTGTTCCATTTTTCTGTGCTTTCTCTTTTTCAGTCTCCTCCTCCTCCCTCTTGTGTTATTTTCTGTTTGCTTTTCCTTAGTGTATTTCTTATTTTTATTATCTTGGGAGCTAAACACTCTATTTCCATTAGAAATGGAAATGGGTGGTTACTCTTCTGACCACTTAAAATATAGTACACACACTTTCTGTAACCTAGCTTTATTCAACATTTAAACTTCTTGAACAATTTCAGAACTTTAGACTATTTTAACTCCAACCCTCCCCTCCTGACTCACATGGTATTGTTATCCTGTATTTTAGTTAGGTTTTAAAAAAGAACTCACACAATAGATGCTATTTTACATAGACAAAGTTCGTTTAAATTTTTGTACATTTTTACCAGTTGCTTCCCTATGTCTTCTTGCACCTCCATTCTTACTATGAGGATAGTTTTTCTTCTTTCTAAAGTATATATTTGAATTTACCCGAAGGATACAAAAATACGAATTAGAAGGGATACATGTGCCCTGAGGTTTATAGCAGCATTATCTACAATAGCCAGCTTATGGAAACAGACCAAGTGTCCATTGATAAAGAAGATGTGTGTGTGTGTGTTTGTGTGTGTGTGTGTGTGTGTGTGTGTGTAATGGACTATTACTCAGCAATGAAAAAGAATGAAATCCTGTCATTTGCAACGACATGGATGGAGCTAGAGAGTATTATGCTAAGTGAAATAAGTTAGAGAAAGACAGATACTGTATGCTTTCACTCATACATGGAAACAAAACAAAAGAAACAAAACAAACCAGTAAAGGGGGGAAAAATGAGAGGCAAACCAAACAACAGACTCTTAACCAGAGAACAAACTGGGGGTTACCAGAGGGGAGGTGGGTGGGGGACGGGCAAACTAAGTGATGGGGATTAAGGAGGGCACTTGTGATGAGCACTGGGCGATGTATGGAAGTGTTGAATCGCTATATTGTACACCTAGAACTAATATCACACTGTATGTTGACTAGCTGGAATTTAAAAATTAAGAAAAAAAGTGAGGTACATACTTGAGATTTTCCTTTAGGGAATATCTGTTGGTAGTATACTCTATTATCGTTTTCCTGAATGCCTTCTTAAAAGGTAGTTTTGTAGGATTCATAATTCTCTGTTGTCTAGGCACACTGAAGAGAGTCTTGTGGTTCCTTTCCTGCTGTGGGGATGTCTGCTGGCAATCTGTGGTTTGTTTATTTATTTATTGTGAGTGTATGTGAGTGAGAGAGCACAAGCATGAGTGGAGGGGCAGATGGAGAGGGGAGAGAGAATCCCAAGGAGGCTCCATGCTCAACGTGGGGCTTGATTCCACAACCCCCTGATTGCAACCACAGCCAGAATCAAGAGTTGACTGACTGAGCCACCCAAAGCGCCCCTTGCTGTGGTATCTTGATGGTGTTGTAGGCTGTCTGGGCTGTTTCTCTGGCTGCTTTAAAGAGTTTCTGTTTATTTTTAGTGTTCTGAAGCTTCATGATCATGTACCGAGGTAAGGATTATTTGAATGTTTCCACCTTGGTTGTACATGTGTGCACCTTATAATGGCAAATACTCTGTGTGAGGGTTCATGCCTTTAATGAGTTCCAGACAGTCTCAGCTGTTATCTCTTTAGATGTGGTTTTTCCTTCATATTTCTGTTCTCTCCCTCTGAGACTTTAACCGGTTATGTTAGACCTTCTTATTCTAGCCTCCATTATCCATAGCCTTGTTTTCGTATGTATGTGTGTGTACATATGTATATATTTAAAGATTCTATTGAGAGAGAGTGAGTGCATGTGAGTGCACACACACAGGGAGAGGGAGGAGCAGGCTCTCTGTTAAGCAGGGAGCCTGACTTGGGGCTCGATCCCAGGACCCTGGGATCATGACCTGAGCCGGAGGCAGACTCCTGACTGACTGAGCCACCTAGGCACCCCCATATATATGTATATTTTATTTCCTTATTTCTTTCTGCAGCAAATTTAGTAACTTCTTCAATCTGCCTTACGGTTTGTTGATCCTCTCTTAATCTATGTCTGAAATGCTACTTACCCCAAACATTCAGTTTATCACTTTAATAATTATAGTTTTTTTTTAAAGATTTTATTTTATTTATTTATTTGACAGAGATCACAAGTAGGCAGAGAAGCAGGCAGAGAGAGAGAGAGAGGAGGAAGCAGGCTCCCCGCTGAGCAGAGAGCCCGATGCGGGGCTCGATCCCAGGACCCTGGGATCATGACCTGAGCCGAAGGCAGAGGCTTTAACCCATTGAGCCACCCAGGCGCCCCATAATTATAGTTTTTATTTCTAAGAGTTCTATTTGGTTCTTCTTCACATCTACCTATCATATTTGCTTATTAAAATATTTATTTTTTTGAACAGAAAATAAGTGTTGGTGGAGAATATGGGGAAATTGGAACCCTTGTGCACTGTTGGTGGGAATGTGAAATGGTGAGATCCTTATGGAAAACAATAAAAAAATTAAAAACAGATACCATATGATACAGCAATTCTACTTCTGGATATACATCCCAAAGAATCGAAAGCAGGATCTTGAAGAGAGATCTGTAGACCCATGCTCATGGCAGCATTATTCACAATAGTCTAAAGGTAGAAGCAACCCAGATGTCTGTTGATGGATGAATGGATAAACAAAATGTGGTATAAATAATGGAATATTATTCAGCTTTAAAAAGGAAAGAAAATCTGACGCAGGCTACAACCATGGATAAACCGTGAAGACACTCTGCTAGGTGAAATAAGCCAGGCACAGAAAGGCAAATACTATATGATTCCACTTACATAAGGTACCTAGAATAGTCAGCTTGATAGAGACAGAAGGTAGGCAGGTGGCTTCCAAGTATTCAGGGGCAGAAGAAATGGGGAATTATTGTTTAATGGGTACGGAGTTCTGGAAAGGAAAAAAACGGCTTTGAGATGGATGGTGGTAATGGTTGCACAGCAATGTGAATGTATTTAACACCATTGAACCGTATACTTACAAATGGTTGATACTAAATTTTATGGTTTTTTTTTAAAGATTTTATTTATTTATTTGACAGAGCACAAGTAGGCAGAGAGGCAGGCAGAGAGAGAGGGGGAAGCAGGCTCCCTGCTGAGCAGAGAGCCCCATGTGGGGCTCGGTCCCAGGACCCTGAGATCATAACCTGAGCTGAAGGCAGAGGCTTAACCCACTGAGCCACCCAGGCACCCCTCATGTGGGTTTTAAATTAAAAGTATTTAAAAGTATCTTAAAATGTGGAAAAGATACCCATTTTAAATTTCTTTAAAGATGCATAAGTTATTGGCGGTCCTATAGTGTGATAGTTTCTAGCATGAACATTGGAGTCAGAATACTCATATTCACCTTTCCCATATGTAACCTCAGGCAAGATACTTAGCCTCATTGAGTCTTACTTTCTTACCCCTAAAATGGGGATGGGATATGAATGGCATTGATTTCGTACGTTTGTGTGAGTCTTTTTATTTTTATTTTTTTAAAGATTTTTAAAAATTTGTTTATTTGACAGAGACCACAAGTAGGCAGAGAGGCAGGCAGAGAGAGAGGGGGAAGCAGGCTCCCCGCTGAGCAGAGAGCCCGATGTGGGGCACGATCCCAGGACCCTGAGATCACGACCAGAGCCAAAGGCAGAGGCTTTAACCCACTGAGCCACCCAGGCACCCCTGTCTGTGTGAGTCTTAAATGCTCAGTACACAGTGAAGCACTTAGAATAGCATCTGGCAGGTAGAAGTATTCTACCGTATCACTTTTTCTTATAATCTGATAATTCTAACATCTAAGGTCCTTGAGGTTTTAAATTTGTTCTTTTTGATGATTCCCACTCCCGAGGTTTTCTTTTTAAAAAATCTTGGCTGGGGGCGCCTGGGTGGCTCAGTGGGTTAAGCCTCTGCCTTCGGCTCAGGTCATGATCCCAGGGTCCTGGGTCGAGCCTCACATAGGGCTCCCTGTTAGGGAGCCTGCTTCCCTCTCTCCCTCTGCCTGCCTCTCTGCCTACTTGTGATCTCTCTCTGTCAAATAAATAAATAAAATCTTAAAAAAAAAAAATCTTGGCTGATCTTTGATGGTGAGCACTGGGTCTGGGTTTAGTTCTGATCTCAGCTTTCATATAGGTCTTGGTCCCTTGGACAAGATATCTGTTGCTCCCAGATATCTTTGTTTCAGCTCATGATTCTGATAGCTTTGTTTGGTTGATTGTGTTGTTTGTTTGTTTGTTTTTTTCGTCTTTGAGGATTTCTGTTATTTTCTGAGAACCTCGTAAAGCATTGTCAAGTATATTTAGGATCTGACCAAGTATATTCAGGTTTTAGGCCTCAGAATACCCAGGCCCCCATACAGTGGCCCAAGAAGTCCATGGGGCTTAATTCTCTGACCATTTGAGTGTAGGGCTTGTGCTTATGTCCCTAGAACCCCACTTAGGGACCACCTCAGACTTTACAGGTGATAATTTTTTTGTTTTTTTTAAAGAATGAAAGCAACCAGCCTGGACTCTCTAGGTAGAAGTAAGGACTCAAAGGTACAGTATCTTCTTCCCAGCCACTGGGGGAACCATGATTTACTGTCAGTCTTGAGTACCTAAATCCTCTCTCTCCCAAGTCATAGGTGTTCTCTCTGGTCTTTGGGTCTCTTTTTTGTTGTTTGAGAATCCGTGGTCTCCCCAAGACCTTTTCATACTCAGACTCAAGAATGATGCAATAGTCCAAGCTCAGTTCTTAGCATGCAGCCCAGTCCGCCTGTGTGAAGGACTTCACACACCTGTTTAATAGCAGCAGCCATAGAGCTAACAGTCATAACAGTAAGTAATAGTAGTTGTACCAATAGCAGGACAGTGCATTTTAAATTACAACTTGTTTCTTGCTCTGTTGGGCCTGGGGATATGTGGAGGAGTGGGCTGGCTTAGACTCTTTCCTCCCTCTAGTCCAATCCTTGGTGATCTGGGTTCTCATTGGAGAGTCTGCTTCCATTCAGCAAGGTGGGAAAGTTTCTTTTGTGCTTAGCAATGCCTCTGAGACCTTGGCCAGAAGGCTGGCCTGTCCAGTGTGCTGTGTCTTTCTCTCAGGGACATCAGGAGCCCCAGGGGTGGCAGAGCTGGGGCTGCTGAATTCCTTCTGGGTGCCTTTGGGCTGTGAGGTCTTTTACAAGAATGGAGGCCATTTGCTGCACCAAGAAATGTTGAGGCTGTGGGCAGAGTGGTGTGCCCCTGGGGGCTCTTGCTCCGTCTGACTTCTGGGATCCCCAGGTGGGCAGGACAGGGGGAGGCTGTTTCCAGGAGAATGGAGGGGCAGCAGCATCATGACTCTGACTATGATAAGAGACCAACAAAAACATGATTTGAAACTGGACAAGGTGGTGATGTGTGTGGAATTAGCCTGCCTTTTTTGAAGCTCTTTTCTCCTCTCTCCTCTGGGGAATTTTTTTGAGCCTTTCCACCCTTCTCCTTCATGGAGTCTGTTCCTGGGAAACTCTCAGCCAGAGAATAGAGAATGATAAAGCTGGGTGTATTCTATACCCTAAGGCGTTTGCATTCATTTGGAATCTCAGACTAAGAAATTTCAGCTCTTCTGGTGGAATTTCAGGTTTTCCCTGGTGGGGAAGATGATTTAGGATGTCAGGGGTCATCTCAGAGCCACTTAAGTCAAACTAAAGGTAGTTTGTACCTTTAAGGTGGAGGAAGGGGGTGGCACAACAGTCTCACCTTCCGGACATTGTAGATCCAGTTGAGATAGGCTGTGACCTTGGTGTATACTCCTGGGGTGCTGGGGCCCCCACAGCCGTGGCCCCAGCTCACGATGCCCACCACTTGCCACTGGTCAGAGTGATACATCAGGGGCCCACCGCTGTCACCCTGTGAAACATCGGACCAGGGGTTGCTGGGGAGGGCAAGCAGGGGCGGGGTGGAGGAGTGGGCTTCTCTTTCTTCCCCTCCTCGCATTGGCCCATCTGTTCCTCTGTGCTCCCCCAGCTGCTCCCCAGTGTTCTGTGCTGTTCTGCCCTCACTGCCTCTGCTCATGCTGTTCCTGCAGCCTGGAAGGCCCTTCCATTTGAGGCAAAAGGGTTCTTTTTGTGGTCAAGTAAGTTGTTGGTGTGCCTTCTCTCAGATTCACAAGGCGCGCTAGCAAACTCAAGGCCCTGAGGGGTTCCTCAGTGAGAAGCCTGATTATCTTTGTTTAATCCAGTACTTCCTAAATTTATTTAGCTGCTCATGGGTTGCCTTTTGCCTGCCAGGTACCATTCTAGACAACTGGGATTCAATCAATGAAAGGAACGAAGATCCTGCCCTCAGGGAGCTTAGAGTTAGATGGAGAAGAGAGAGAGAATAAACAAGCAAACAACTCAATAGACCAGAGCATGTCAGATAGTGAAAAGTGCACTACTTTGGGTGTCTGTCCCAGCTTCTACAGCCCCTGAGACTTCTCCCTCAGAACCCAGTAACACCAGAGCCTAACTGCCCCTCTTGCCCACCACTGTGAACTCCCCGAGGGCAGAAGACACTGTCCCCAAAACCCAGTATTCACCTGGCATTCAAGTGATGGCCAAGAGCTACCTCTTGAGTGGAGGAATTTAATGATTGAGAATGGGGTCAGAGTGAGGTTAAGGGCTTTAGTGAAAATGGCTCGGAAGAACTTCTGGGGATGGAGGGAGTGAAAATGTATTTAGGGACTAATGGGGTTTGGGGGCGGGGGAGGCATTGTTCCAGGGCTCATCCAGCAGGAGATGGGTTTTCTCTAGTCTAGTGCAGCATCTTGACAGTTCTAGAGAAAACAGACCTGGCCTTCCTGCCCTCACATGACCCCTACTCCTGTGGGTGATGGGGGATAAGAGCAGGTGGGTTGGCTAACCGCCTTTGTAGGTGAAATACACACCTGAAATCTTTCTGCTTGTCTCTGTCCATCCTTTCTTGCTTATCTGACTGTAATCCTTCTTTCCCTCCCTCTCTCTGTTCTTCCCTTCATCACGACTGAGTGCCCGCTGTATGCAGGACTTCATGTGGGGCTGTTGGCCTCTGGACTTACTTGTTTTTCCAGGACTAAAATCTCTATCCAAGGAACTCCCTCATGATCCCACCTGGCAGGTGTCCACGCCGCCCTCCAGGATGCCGGCACACAGCATCTGCTCAGTAACTTCCCCTTGGTATGCGTCCTCTGCGTTGCACCGAGTATGGTCAATGACCTGGACTGAGGCCTGCAGCAGTGTGTCAGACAGCTTTCCTGGGAAGGTGAAAACACATGCGTATTCCCATTCTTGCCTCTCACCCCCACCCAGGACAATTCTCTGGGTTACCTGGCATCTCAGTGCTTGGATTTCCAGGAGGGGTTTTTTCCCCCAGGGTGGTCCTCCTTCCCATCACCTCCAGGAGCTGCTCCCTCAGCCCTGTGTTCCTGAACCCAGGACTTACCTCCATCTTGCTTCGTAAAGCCCCATCCGATGACCCAGAGTGGGGTGGCTGGAGTGAGCTCCTCATCAAAAAAGGGCAGGCAGATGGGCCTGACTGTGCCTGCCAGGAGCAGAGAGAAAGGGGGGGAGAGCCTGGTGGCTAAATGCTCTGGAAAGGTTGACACCAGGGTTTCTATGACCTGTATTCCAGGGGATGTTAACAGAAGTGGCATGAGAAAGTTCTGTGGTCAAATAAGTTGAAGTATAGTTTAAACATAATCCAAGCAAATTAAAAATTAAATGCCTTATTATATCTTTATATGCTAATGTGCCCCAAGAAAAGAGCTCTACTATAAAAATGTTTCCCAAATTTAGAATAGAACCTGTTTTTTCTCCAAGGGACCAGTGTCCTGTGGAACTGGCAGTTGCAAATGCTGAGAAATACTATCCAAGCATGAGTCATCTAACAGAGCTGTTCAAAGAGTCCATGGGCTGCCTTAAAGGTAATGAGCTCTCTGCCTGTGGAGGAGACCAGGTGGGCACAGTAACCCCTTGGCAGAGATACGGTGCAGGCTCTTGGCACTCGTTGAGGGTGGAGGATGGACTAGAAGATCTTTTAGTTCCCTTACAGCCCCAAGATTGGATGAGTCTATGATTCTCACTTGAGATGCTCCACGTGGAGAAAACAGACCTCAAAAGAACCCAGCTTGGGTGGGGCAGGCTGCGAGCTGACAACTGAAAGGGTTCTCATGGCCCCTTGCTGATGTTAGGCTGGTGTATTCACTGGAAACAAATGTACAGCTGAGGGCTTGAGAGGAGAAGCAGTGTGCCCAAGGCCACGTAGTGAGCTAGTAGCAGAAGGGGAGTATAACCTGGCCTAAGGGGTCTGTTCCCACATTCCCTCTCACCGGAGAATGTGAGTGGGAACTGCAGCTTCACGAGGGCAATGTCCTTCTCTTTTGGGTACGTGGTGTTCAGCTCAATGACGAAGATGCTGGCCACAGGCAGGGATGGGAAGTTGCCCAGTTTGTCTGAGCCAGCCCTCACCTTCCAGGTGGACACATCGTGATGCTTCCTAGGTGGGGGGCAGAGACAGCGGGGTTCAGGCCTGAACCAAGCCTGTGCAGTCTTTGCCCACAGCTGGGTCCCCAGGGTGCTGGGGGTTGGGGTGCTGAATGTCCCTGCTGTAGGGGGTTATGATGTTGAGGCCAGGGGTGGTAGAGAAGGAGCAGGTCTGAGGAATCCCTTACAAAAGGACAAATTCTAAAAGGGAATTTGATCCTTTCCCCTGGTGAAACCTGCTCAAGGAAACTTCTAACTGGAGGGCCAGGGAAAGGGCTGTTCCCAGCACCTGAGCTCTGGGGTCCTGGCACTTTCCTGCCCCTGGTACTGTCTGTGCTACTCAAGTGGTACTTGTATTGTCAGTTTCGTTATGCACTTGTCTGTCTGCCTCCCGACACTCCTCCCTGCATAGTGTGCATGGGTGGTTTCCCAGGAAAGGACTTAGAGCTTTGTCAGATCTCAAAGGTTAAGAATCTCTGGCCTACACTCTGAATTCCTCTAAGGCGCTGACAGAGCTAATGCATACGGATACATAATATAGTACTCATTAGATATTGAATGAATGAATGAATGAAAGAAGGAAAGTGAAGAGGGCTTGGGAGTAGTCCTTCCCCAGAGGTATGGGCAGGCCTCTCTCTGCTGGCTTGTAAAGGAATCTATGCTTTCTGCTTTAAGTTTTTGGGTATAATGGGGGAGTGGCAGTGACTCTCAACCCCAGAACCACTCCAGAGAAGACTGGCAGAAGGAGCGCATTCTCAGGACTCCAGGAAGATGGATGGGAAGAGCTTCTGTGGAGTGAGTAGGGGCTGGACTGAGGACCCTGGGTATCTGATTGCTTCCCAACTAGAAGAGGTCAAGCTTGGTGATCAAGCTTGGCGACCAGCGCCTTCTTCTCAGACCCTGGGTGGCTAACAAAGGATGTCGTGTTCAGTGTCTCATTGGGGGTGGCCACACCCAAGGACGTGTTCTGTAGAGGGAGGGGAAAGAGAGGATAGGGGTTTGGAACACAGGCTGGGAGGCAGGGAACCCCGATACTTAGGCCCCTCCAAGTCTTTGAGCCCCCAAGGCTTCCTTGTGGTGCAGCCTTACCTGAAACAGTGGGCTGCCGTGAGGATCCAGTAGGGGTCCAGAATGCTCCCTCCACAGATGTGTTGTTTGTTGTACTGGATGCTGACCTGCCAAGGCCAGGAATCCACAGAGGCCGTCTCCCCACCCACTACCCGAGGGGCCTTCAGGCTGTCCCCACAGGCTGGAGTCAGCAGGGACGGGGGAGAAATCAGGAGTCAGGCTCTTGAGGGATGGACTGCCTCCCCTTGGAGCCCTGAGTCAGTTCCCTTAGAGCAGGGCCCTTATGACTGGGACCTGGACGGGTGGGGAGGACCGCCCATTTTGAGTTATTCCTAGGGAGCTGGTGTCCCAGACCATAGATTTTTTTCCCAATCTCCTTCTCTTTTGTTGGGCTTTGGATGTGTTTATATTGTGAACATGGGTGTGTCCATTGTGCTGGGAATTCATGGCCTTCAAACCAAACAGGTGATAGAGAATTACAAATGTCCTGCCCAGGTGGAGTGTCCCAGCTGCTCCTGTGGAGTATTGGCAAGCAGACGCCCACAAACTGCTCTGGGAGCCGGGACTGGGAAGAACATTCCAGATACTAGATCTTCCTATCCTAAACTCACCTTTCTCCAAGTCCCTTCCCCTGTGATGAGTAAGTCTCCCAATTTGACATCCTATGCTCTTTCATATGCCACTGTCCTTGGCTTTTCCATCATGGCCCTCAAGCTCTGGTAAAAGCCTCCATTCCCATCTTCCTGCCCTCCAGTCTCTCCAGTCCTGGTGGTCACGGCCACAGTGGTGGTTCTCTCAGGAAAAGGCTGCCATCCTTTCTGGGCCTATGCCAGGCAGGGGCTTTTCAGATACTTGTTATTCCAAAATCTGCTTTCTCCGTGTCTCCTTGCTCCCTCACAGCCCCGAGGCATCTTTCTTTCTAGAGCAGAGTTTAAAGTCCTTCTGGCAGCTGCCCACTGTCCTTGTCTGAAGTTTCCGTCTAGCCAAATCGATCTGCTTGTGTAGCTCCCTAAAAAGTTTTTCTTCTTTTGCTTGAGGAAGCCCCCATCCCTGAGATGCTGTCCTATTGCTATTTATCTAAACCATTGATCCATTCAGCAAATTTGAATTAAGTGCCTACTGAGTTCAGGGATGCTGGGAAGAGAGTGGAGGACAGGACAGACAGACAGACAGACATGGTCCTTCCCTTCTGGGAGCTTACAGCTCAGTGTTTAGCCTGGGTACCACCCCCTGGGGGCCGCCCAATCCCTGGAGAGCCCCCCCCACCCCGTCTTGGAATTTCCATAGCCTGCTCCCAGTGTTGGCCTGTCTTTCATTTCCTTTGTGCTTTGGTCTTCCTGTTAAGACTGACAGCTCCTCAAGGGAAGATCTGTGACTTCAACCTCCCTGCGACATCAGGGCCATTCAGCTCAGAGCACAGATGATGTGACTAATGGTTCAGTCTTTCACTAGCTAGCCACCATGAGTCCGTCCCCACACACCAGGGATTGTGGGCATCACGATAGAACATCTTAACATCCAACAGGGAAGCCTATATACTACCCAACGGCAAAGGCAGTGACAGTGGCCTTGTTCCACTCCGCCTATCCAGTATCTGGCCAGCCTGGCAGGCTCTGTTCAGTTCTTCCACAAGTCTGGGAGGACAAGCTGGGTCACAGAGCTTGTTTTCTCTTCTGTTCTCTGTAAGGATCTTCTGGGGCAGTTGGACAAAAGGCTTTCTTGGGAAGAGGAACCTCAGAAGGGTCAGGTGAATTACTCAAGGTCACACTGGAAGCCAGTGGGACTGGTGCCTGGGTCTCTCTGTGGCAGTCAGCTATGAGCGCTGTTCAGTCTGGCACCTCCCAGCTGTGGCCTTGCGTCTTTCTCTCTCTCTCTGCTCTCTGTCTCTGTTATAAACTCCTGAGGAGAATGGCCAATTCTTTGACTTACCTGTGTGCCTGATAGTGCTAGTGTGCCTGATAGTGCTAGACACAGTCTGTTTTTGCTAAACTAAATGACACTGTGATGGAGGAGGCCTTGTGGGCCTGACCAGGGTGGGAGGGCGTGGAGGCCCAGTTCTATCCTTTCCAGTTTTCTCTTCCCTGCCAGCTCTCTGCTTTGGTTGTGGGGTTGTGTGTGGACGGTACTAAAGAGTTCTTAACGTCCCCACTTGAAGGAGCACTGCCCTATAAACCCAAGGCCCAAGGAAGTAAGTTTGGGACAAAACAGAGAGAAACTTAGAGTCTGAGAGATTTAAGAATGAGGATGAAGGTCTTTCTCCCCACTCTTTGCTGGCCCAGGGCCCAAACCCTCAGAGATGGGGCGTACTCACCAAGGCAGTGCAGGGAGACCAGGGAGCCTGAGACACAGGGTCTGGAAGGGAGACACAGGGCCTTGAGGTTTCTGTGGGAGGTGCGGACTTCGGTCCCCTGACCCTGTTGACCCCAGTCCCCTTCCCGCACTTGGAAAATCTGGAATCCACATGCTGAGGGACTATATAGAAACCACACGACCATTTAGTTCAATGCAATTCAGTTGGTTTGGGTTTAAGATCCTTGATGTTAAGGACTCACAATGTGCTGGGCCCTGCCTGCGTCTGAGCCCAACCTGAGCCCTTGGCATCCTGGAGTGGAGGAGAGCAGAGCCTGGAACAGTGTCTGTTACGCTGTGTGCTTTTCAAGTGAACGAAAAGGGGGATTTCTGTGGAATTACAGGCACATGATCCTTCTGCTACCATCTTGGTTCTTTTTAAGATTTACTCTCTAGAGAATGAGCAGCCCTCAGCAGCATCCCCAAATGCTGGGGAGCCAGCATCCTCTCTGGTACTCTCTGCTGCCATGTGACCATTTTTCTCTAGATGCTGAGCTCTCATGCGGGGTGGGGAGGCAGAGGAACAGGCCGCTGCCAGAGGCTGTGGGGCCTTTTCTCTGGAGAGCTGGGAACGTGGAGAGGTCTTACCCTGGCCTGGGTAAGTGGCTGGGATGGACAAAGTGGCCTTTGGAATCTTGCCTGTTGGGTTTAATTGGGAGCGTAAAGCAGTAGGAAAATTTTTCATTTTATTCTTGGATGAAAAGGCCACCAATATGTAGACACCATACCTTGTGCAGCTGTTTGTTTTATATGAAAAATGGAGTCAACCCAGAAAACCTCTCAGAAATCTGATTCTTTAGCTCTTGGTATCTGACAGTCTACATGGCCTGGAGTTCTTCCTGTGGTCTGACTTATATTCCCCTTGCTGCACCTGCTTGGGGTGGCTGCCTACAGCCCCGATGGCAGCCTCCATATGTGAGCCTCTCGTGGGCCAGGGGGCGTCCTCCCACTTACCCACTTAGGTTTTGCACCTGAAGCTCTTGGCCATTTTCTGTGATTCCAACAACATCCAGATCTTGGTCTGGGCCAATCTCCACAGCTTTGAAGGTGGGTTTGCTGCTCACATTGGGAGAGAGAGAGAGATGTGAGCTAGGGCAGGAGGTTAGAAGATGTTGGGAGTAGCCCCCACTCCCAGGAGCTGCGATGGGAAAGAATGTGTCCCAGGACTCAGATCTGGGCACAATGCTGATGTGGTCTTGCTTTCCCAGAGCTCTGGACAAGTTATGGACATGCTTTCCTAACTCCCAGCTGTAGCCCTATTTCAAATGTCCTAGGATATTTTCTCCTGAATCATAGCCAGGGAATTAGAATGTGGATATCTGGTTTTCCAAACAAGGCATCTGGGCTGAATTGGGTAGTGGGGGTACTTTATGGCGCCCTTGGAGGTAGGACAGGATGAGATCAATCTTCACATGAGTCCGGAAGAGTCTCTCCCTTGGAGCACCCTCCCTCTTTCTCTCCACTGATCCGTGTTTGTCTAATTTCAAACCTTGGGTTTAAGTTTTAGCTCCTCCAGGAAGTCTCCCCCGAGTCATCCCGTTGTCCTGATCGTCTGTTCTTCCCCATCCAGCTATGCTAGTGCTGGCTCTGTGTGCAGGGTTCAGGATGACTGAGGCATGGGGTTACTGGCCACTGATGTTCTCACATTCCCAGGCAGGAGTTGTGCATACCTGGTGGGCCCAGGTACACCTGGAAGGGCCTGGGTGTGGCGGTACTGGGTTTCAGAACCCTGGAGATGGAGGCTCTTGTCCTGCCTCTGACATTAGCTTGATGTGTAACCTTGACAGGTCACACCCTTCCCTGGGTTTCCTTAAGCCTCACTTTCTCCCTCTGTAGAATGAGAGGTGGACCTCCTGATCTCTAGAGCCTCTCCCATCCTGAGCCATCTCAGGTTTATGGTCCTGGGACAAAAAGGGCTTCTTATCTAGGTGGAAGAAGGAGAGAGGAGAGAAATCTGAGACTTGGAAGGAGGGACAGTGGTGGAAACGGATAGTCCCTGGAAAGCTAAGCTGTGTTCACCCATTACATCCTAATGAATAATTCTGACTGGCATTGATTCTGTAGAACTCAAGAAGCCAGCTGGTTTGGTACATTAGTGCACTCCAGAAGGGCAGAAACGTTAGCATCCTATTACCTTAAGAAGCCTGGGAGACACCTTGGTTGCATAAGGCAGCTGCAGCCCGCAGTGCTGCCCATGGTGCTGCCCGTGGCGCTGGGCCCTGCTGATGCTGCAGTGGCTGGACTGCAGTGAGGAGGAGGGGCTTGCTGCAGGGGAGGCCTGGCTGCTGATGGAGGAGGGGTAAGAGCAGGGGCCAGGCATAAGCAGCCCAACTGTGCCACATGGAGAGTGTTGAGCAGCAGAGAGGCCTGATAACCAGAGAGCACAGGGGGCCACAAGGTCTGATGGATCAGTAATGCTGCCAGGAGCGTTTACTGAAAAAGGACCTGGAGGCTGCTTTAGGGGTGGATGGAAGAGAGTTCCGTGATTGACTGACAGTGTCTGCCTAGCAGTTCTCATTTCTGCCTAGACCAGTTTCCTAGAGTCCTTGGGGACCTGCCCCACTCCGCAGCTGAATAAATGGGTTCTTTTCCCTCCTCTCTGGTTATGCTCTCTGAGTGGTCAGTGGCCTCGCCTCTCCTCCCTTTATAGGGAAGGCCTGGGGGGAGGAGAGAATTACCCAAGCTGGAAACAGAGATGCTGCAAGAACTCCTGATACCCAGGAATCAAGGGGGCTTGGGCACAGCCCCCAAGCCTCTCCCTCCCCAGCTCCTACCAGGCGAGTTACTTATCTTTCCTAAACCTGTTTCTAAAATAGATAGAGTAGTAACGACCCTTTTGGTTTTTGCCAAGATCAAATGAATATAAACGCATCAAGCAGATCACTCTTAATGATTACATAACTCTTCACCCACTGAAGCTTTGGAGCTGCTGTAGAAATTTGCTGGCAGAACTGTGATTGCAGATGGGGCCTCGATGGAATCAGGTTTGTTTAAACTGAGTTTTAACCAATGGGACATTGAATAAGTAAGTATTATACTCTGGGACAGGGCAGCTTATTGCTGGGCTGTGAAGGAGTGAGGGTCTCGAGGAGCCAGCATGGTGTTGGGGGTGCGTGGTGAGGCTTACATTCTCTCGCTGCACCTGATAGCTCTCCTATGACATTGCCAGTACTTGCCCCAGTTAACCCTTGAGGAAACCGGGGTTTAGGAGATTGAACTTCATGTTGGTTCTATGTGAAAATGCTCCGGTTCAAGAGCAGTTCTGTCTGACTTCTGTATCTATATTTTTAGGAAGGGAGGGAGGAAAGGAGGAAGGAGGTCATAGGGGTGAGGGGACGGCCTCTGGAGGCTGGGGCCGGGTACCTGGCATAGCCCATCTGCCCACAGGCTGTCTTGGCCAGAGCTTCTGTGAAGTTGTCAAAGCAGGCAGAGGCCCAGCTCCGTGTGGCCGGGTCCAGCACTTGCAGGGTAGATCGGTCCCTGGAGAGGCGGACTGAGAGGGGAAAAACCTGGGTCAATTCCAGGGCAGGGATCTGTCTGGCCCATCTCCCTCAGAATTCATCATGGGACCAGCACAACCTCCCTACGCCCAGGCTGTAGAGCACTACAGAAAACCAACCCTTTCAATTTCAAAGGACGTTCTTCTATTTGGCTTTGCCTGATTGAGCCTCATTTTGATGGTAGCTAGGGTGACCAGATGTCCTGGAAGGAACCTCCTTGTGGACCTCTTGTCTTGGTAGAATTACCAGCAGCTCTCCATTTTATTCTTACAGATAACCAGTTTTGGTGATCTTTGGTGACTCTACCCATGGTCCTCATGGCCTGCCTAGCCTGGGGGACTTCTCACTGAGGAACCTAGCTTCCTTTTGACCTGAGGGAGGAGGTTGAGAGGGAAGTATTATTGGCAGTAGGATGGCCGGTGCCCATAGGCATTTGACTTCTGATTTAAAAAAAAAAAAAAAAAGGATATGTGCAGGAAGTCACTTAATCCTGCCCGTCAAAACCCCCAACACCCATCTCCTGGCTGTCTTTTTTCTCCAGAGCCCAAGTACTAGGTGAATGAAGCTGGGCCAGCCCCATCTGAGAAAGAACGTGAGTTTTTGTTGGAAACCTCTTCTAGTCCTTTGAAGGACCTAGCTCAGTCTTGTTACATAGCAGGCTACAATAAACACCTAATGGATAGAAGGATCAATCGTTAATGGCCTGACACCCACTTTTCTAGTCCCCTTGAAAGAACAGATGTCACAGAAAGGAGGGAACTCCCCAGCGTTATCCAATCCAGCTGCCTGCCTCAGTTCCATCCCAGTGTAGCAGAACGAGGCAGGCTATGTTACAATTTCCTGTCCCTTCTAGCCCACATCTGTTCCTCATATTCACTGAGTATTTGCTCCATGTTAAGTACTAGGAATCTAGTCCTGTTGCTCTTTCGAACCTTGCAGTAGGGATGGAAACTGACCGGTCAGTTGGCAGATGCTGTGCCTTGAACTGGGGGGGACCTGAGCTGGTTTCCTGCTGTGCCCTCCCCCATGGTCCCTCCAGCCCCTGGACTCACCTGCCCCTGGGGACCCATCAGGGAAGGTCTTGACACAGTGCTGCTCGTCCTCCCCAGAGGCACAATCCTGCTGGCCATCACACACTTGCCTTCTCAAGATGAAGTGGAGAGGCCGCCCGCAGAGGAAGTAGTATTTGTCCAGAATCACCTTGACTGGAAGGCAGGGGCAGGGAGGGGGCAGAGAGGACTGACCGTGAAGCAGGCAGCCCCGGCGGGGGTGGGGGATGGGATAGGCTGTGTTTCCCTGAAATCGTGCTGGGCTTCAAAATAGGCAGGTGAGGGTTCCAGACCCAGTGATGCCACTTGATAGCCTGGGTACGTAGTCCTGAGCCTCCGTTTCTGTCTCTGTAAAGTAATGCCTGTCCCATACCTATATGTTGTGAAGCAAGAGAATGTGTGGGAGAAACTTTTAAACAGCCCCACTGGCCTCATCCTCCCGGTGCTGGCACAGTACCTCTGGTAACGAGCCCAAAAGATGAGAGTGCTGGCCCTGCTGCCTCCCCTGTGACTTTAGACCTATCACATCCTCTCCCAGGGCCTCAGTTTTCTCAGCTGTACAGTGGGGTGAGGTGGTTGAGAACGTTCTGTAAGCTGGTGGCCGTGAGGGTCTTGTAACTACCAAGTGCAGTTCTAGAACTGGGTGTTTTTTATCTGGGGCTGAAAGATCCACGGAGGGGCTGGTGTTTTGTTGGGTTTTGTCTCCTCCCTGCTGCTTTCAGATTCTGTTCCTTCTTTGCTGTCTTGGGTAATGGGAATGAGTCTAGTGTTTGTAACTCCTCAGGCAATGAATACTTCACATTTCTAAAGGCTCCTGGTAGGAAGAGACCTTCCTGCCCAACTGACCCTACCCTTGGCCCCAAGCTCCCTCCTGCCTTCCAGTGTTGCCCCTGTCTAGCCACCCTACAGGTGATGGTGACAAATTTGACCATGGCCTCACTGCTCACTGTGGGGAGCTTCCCATGCACTGCCTTGTGTCATCCTGATGACAACCTGAGGAGGCAGTTGTTGTGATTAACTCACATTATGGGGGGTTTACAGAGTTGGGGTTTAATTCCCCAGGCCACACAGCACTTCTCTGTAGAGCCAGGATTCCAGTCAGGGTCTGTCTAACCCCAAAGCTCTTTGCTGCCTCTCCATGCCTTCCCTGAGGGCCTTTGAGTTGGGGTCTGCTGGCCTGGATGCCCTGGGTGTGAGGGAGCACGGGAGAAGGAGCAGGCTGGATCTTTCCTAGACCTTCAGAGTTTGGTTCATGGTCAGGGCCCAGGGTAGAGCAGGGTCATTCTAGCCTCTTGATGACAGTGTCATCAGTTGAGATCCCAGAAGCCAAAAAGTTGAGGGAACCTTGCCTGGGATGGAGGTTCAAATGACCTCCTCTGGTTGCAGAACCCGGGGGACCACAGCATGGAAGCCATGTCACAGGGCCTTGTGGGATGGGGAGACCTCAGTTCTAAATTGTGCACCACTCCTGCCCAGGCATGCCTGCATGACTCTGGCCTCTTTTTCTCTCTCCAGTGTGGCCAGGCATATGCTCAGAGAAAGCCAGCTCTCCTTTGTATTAGCGTGAATAGAACAGGCTTAGGACAGCTGCTCTGCTGCTGCTGCAGACCCAGGGCCAAAGGCCAGCCAAGGTCCGGAAGAAATGCGCAAGCTCTCAGGGGTGGGGTGTGGGTAGTGTTTGTGTTGTGGATCTGCATTTCTTTTGCCACAGGTGGAAAAGGACTTGCTCCGTCTGGGTGCCGGGGTCCCGTTCCAGCTGTCTCTAAGTGTCAGGCCTCCTCTCTGAGCCCCGATGCTCAAGTGGGGGAGGAGGGTGTGGGCTCAGTGATCGCCGAGTGGTGGTGGTCGCTGCTAGTGGAAATGCCACTCTGGCTGTGAGTGCAGGCTCCTGAAGGGCCCATCCTCCCTGGGTTAGCAAACGTGTGCTTTTGTGTACGGCTCTGTCGCATCTTTGCACCCTGTCTGGTGACCAACACTTTGGCACCACCTGATTTTCATCTGGGTGTTTTACTCACATTATCTCCCACATGCCTCTGGGAGAGACAGGATGTTTTACAGAGGAGAAGACTAAAGTTGAGAGCGGTCAAAGGACTTACTCAAGGTCACACGGCAGCAAGGGGTGTCCTGACTGCTAGCCTGGTCTGCTGTGCCCTGCTCCCCACCCCGAGAGAGCAGTCAGCAGCCTGCTGTTACTGTGGCGGTGGCGGGGAGGCAAGGACAGTTGGTGGTGGAGTGGCGGAGGAGACCAGGATGGTGGGCATGGTAGGTCATTCGGTTCAGTCTTCGTTACTGAATGGCCTGCCAGAGATCACACTGGGTCTCGGGCATTGGCCAAGAGGAAGACAGAGCTACAGGCAGCTTGTGTGTGTGTGCGCGCGCGTGTGCACACGCCCTGTCTGCCTGGGTGGCTTCCCCTGTGCCTCCTGTGTGAGTCCCTGCCTCAAAGGTGAAAGGGCCCCCCAGTCTTCTAGCCTTCAGGGCTGCTTAGGTGTCTGCAGGCACCTGACTAAGGAGGCAGGGTCGTGGCCGCCCTGGCCCATTGCCTGTGTGGGTTTGTACCATGTGCAGCTGTGTGTTCGCAGTGGTAGAGTTCATCTGGGGTAGGTGGGGGCTGCATTCACCTCCCCCTTTGACTCTTGGAGGAAGGCTCCCTTCAGAGCGGGGGATGGACAGGTATCACGCAAAGCTCTGTGCAGCTCAGCTGTCTGTGGCTGCTAGGTGGAAGGGTGGCGGGTAAGGTTGTGCTCAGAGGGGCATGTGGGAGCTGTAGTTTCCTGTGGGGGATGAGGGGGAGGTGGGGGCAGTCATGAGGGGGTGAGGGCAGGGCTGGGGGCTGCCACTTACTGAGGACAGCCATGATGATGATGGTCGCCAGGCTCAGCATCGCTGCGATGATTGGGACCCCCACCTTTTTGAAGGTCTCCAGAGGAGGAGTTCGGGGTTTGCGCAGGGGGGTGACATCTGTGAGGCAGAGGGACAGAGTCTGCTGTTAGCCCTTGGAGATCGCCCCCGCCAAGGCTCACAGCCTACCTGCCCTCTGGCCATGGGGCTGAGCTGCAGAATGCTTTGGGGACAGTTTTGCTGAGCACTGGGGTTTTATTCCTGCAGACTGGGCTTAGCTTCAACAGCTCAAGGTCACCCACCTCCTTCGCTTATCCAGGCTTGTCCATCTTTCACCTGTGCCCCCCAGAGGAGCCTCTGGAACAAGATGTTGTCCCTTTGTCTTGACTTAGCCTGTTCCACAGTGTTTCACCCTGTCTGGTCTGCCCTGCAGCTGCCTGGGGAGAGGCAAGTACTCATTTATTTTACTATCATTTATCCTCTTTTCTGACTAACCTTTAGTTAAACTGTAAGCTTGAGGAGGGCAGGGACCTCCAACTCATTCCATGCTTAGTAGAGCCCTGATATGTGCTTGCAGTTGAGCACATCCTGACGGCCTCCATCTCCAACTCAACAGATAGGGAGTCCCTAGGATGGTCCTCGTCTTTAAGGAGATGCCAGTTTGGGGGGAAGAAGCACACAAGGACAGAGTTGCCACTACCTCTGGATGCCATCAAAACACTTAAATGGGCCTCCGTAGGTGGTGATGCGGTGGGGGGGGCTGGACCAGCTGGGCAGAGGCCTGGGGGTGTCGACAGTGAGCTTGTCGTGTGCCCCAGATGTAACATGGGCAGGTACGTGTTACGGAGGCAGAACTGGCAGTGTCGGTCCACAGAGAGTCTTGAACACCATGCCGGGAATTTGGATTTTATCATGAAGGCAGTATGGAGCTATGGACAGCTTTGAGCAGCAGAGAGATGTGTGATCGTTTTCATATTCAGGAAGGTGAATCATTCACTGGGGAGGAGGTGGATGGAAACAAGTTTGGGGTTAGGGTGACCAGGTAGGAGCCTAGAGGTGCCTAAAACAGAGCTAATAATAACTATATTGTCTATTCATATGGTTATCCAAGGAGATGGTACCAGGGCCAGGATCTGAAAAGTTAAATTCTCAGGAAGTATCTGAGATGTGTCCTCTGGGATCCTCTCTCCTTGCAGGCAGTAAGCCGGGGTGGGTGCCCGGGGCTTCTCCAGGGCGAGCTAGGGCAGGAAGTCTGGCTGCCTTGAGTCTAGGGAGGGTGATAGGTCAGCTCTCTTCTTCTCACCTCCATGTAGCATGGTCTGTCACCTTCCTGACCTCCCTTTTTGAATGGTAATCTTCCAGTGTTACCTGTCCTCCTCCTGCATTTTTAAAAACACTTACCAGCTCTTTACATACTTTATATTTTACATATTATATGTATTTTCCATCCCCTCCTGTCCCTTTCTGAAATGAAGACTTTGAAGTTAAGGAATTTTTCTTCTTGTTCACTGCTGAATCCCAGGTGTCTTCAACAAGTGTCTGCTGAGTAAATACATGCATCGCTCTTTGCTTGATCTCTTAAGCACATCCTTCCCATTTTTGTTCCAGGTCTGGTTTCCTGGCTCGAATGAGGGCTGGTGACAGTCTGTCTCGAGCTCTTTCCTCAGCTCTTCAAGAGCGGAGAATGGCATCCAGCCAGAGACGGGTGCTCAGGAAATGCTGATATCATTGAATCTGTTGAAAGGGAAAGCATCGGAAACCTTGTGTCTCCTCAGAAGGAGACACAAAACTCAGGCCCACAGGGCGTGGGCTGGTGTTGCCTGTCCTGAGCAGGCACCAGGGAACTTCTCAGTCTTAACAGGTATTTCTTGAAGTTTCCAGCAGTTAGAGTGCAGAGCTCTCCTCTTCCCCGTGACCGTGGACATGGCGACATTCTGTTCATCCCTCCTTCATGCATGATTTATTTATTGAGCGCCTTCTGCTCGGGATACGAGGTGGCTTATTTCCTCAGAGGTGCCTCAACTCTTGGGAGCCCCTTGATAGGTTCCCCTGTCCAGGTCCCTATGTCTCTGCCTCCCTGATGTTCTCAGGGAGAACAGCATCAGGAAGGGTAGAGTTTTCTGGGTTTACATTTCATACGTAAATTTGTCAAAGCACCATGAGCTATGACGAGCCTCCCGGCCTGCCACCATTCTTTCCTGCAGCTGGTCTTGCCCACCGCGGCAGGACAGCGCCTCCCAGCACATTGCTGTCATCTGGTCACATCCCCGCCTGAGAACCCTCCATGACTTCTGGATCTAGACCACTCTCTTCTCCAGACTTGCAAAGCCAGCGTGATCTGGGGCCATGTGGACTTCCCACTTGCCATTCCTCAGTGCTACACAGACAGTTTCTGTCCTGGTCCTTGCACACCTGCCTTCATTCCTTCCTCTGAACCTTTGCTCCTGCTCTTCCCTTCACCACTAGAAACCCTCATCACTTCCTTCTGTTTTGTGATAGCTTACTCCTGTGGGGACTTTGTCAGAGCTTGCCTGATCCATGACGGTGTTATCTCGGATCATTTGGCACGGATTGCTCCTTCTCAAGCTTCCCTCAATGCGGGCATTGGTAGCAAATCTAACTTGTTTTCTGGTTTGGTGGTTCTCACGGTTACTCAGGTGGTGGAGCCCTTGGATGTCTGGTATTCTCTGGGGACACAGGGGTCTATCATTCTGTCGAATTCCAGAGTATAAACTGGCTCCATCTTACTTGCGGAAGATTACATTGTTTGTGATCATTATTAAAGTGGGGTCCTGAAATTGTTGCAGTAAGCGGGATAGTATGACAGATCCACAAGGAATCTGTCATACTATTTTGTGCTTTGCTCACTTGTCTGGTGGATCCAGCAGGCTATTGGGAGTGGTTCTCATTGGTTTAACAAAATAGAATGGGAGGGTGGAAAAAAAATCCCTTAAATTTGGGAACGCTTTGTCTCTTATTCTTCTCCCGTAAATCAGGCAAATACTATCATTTTCTAGTCTACCAGGGAAAATACCTTTGTCCAGCTTGTTCCATGGCAGCAGGTCAGACTGGCAACTCCGTGAGGGCAGGGACTGTGTCTTAACCTCCTGTTTTAGTCCAGCGTCTAGCCCAGACCCTGGCACGTGGCAGGCACTCACAGAGTTGTTGAATGAATAAGAAAGTGAGTAACTGAATGAATGAGTTGGAGGACACCGCTCTTGGGGTTTTAGGTTTGTTGGTCATATTTCCTTGGAGACCATGCTTCCTACTTTTAGAATTATCCCGGACCTTAGAGTTGCTTAATGCGTTTTTGTTGAATGATGAATGAGTGGGTGGATGGAGATCTTCCATAGTGTTTAGCCCTCAGTGGTGGTGGTGAGGGGGTGCAAGAGGGGGATAGTATTTATTTGGTAACTGACTGAAACTTGGAGGCTGACGTAGACAAGGCAAAGCTGGACCTGAGCTTACCAAGGCTGTTCAGGGGTTGATTGCTGTCAGGATCCTGTAATTGAAGGAAAAACAATCTGTGAGCGGAGAGAGGGAACCTCTCAGGCTGAGGCTGAAGGCTCAGGACAGGCTCTTGGTTCTTATTTGCATCCCCTTCTCCCTGCTGAGTCAAAGTTGGGGGCTCAGTGATACCTCACTGGTTCTCAGTTACATGTCTTTATTACGTACAACTAGCTTACTAATTGTAGCAGCTAGTTAGCAATTATGGAAATGATAGCCTGCTGGGTTGTTGTGTTGCTGGGTTACTTAGGATGATTCTGCCCTGCCATCTGTTTTGGTCAACAATTTGCCTACTTTGATAGATTTAATTCTGTAAAAACCTGGACACTTCACAAAAGGGGGTACTTCAATAGCCACTCAGGGCCAAAAGATGCTCAATGTCATGGCTCACCAGGCAAATGCAGATTCACACCACAGTGAGATAGCTCTGCAGAGACACCAGAATGACTAAAATTAAAAAGACTGATAATACTAAGTGTTGAAGAGGATGTGGACTATTGGGACTCTTATACACTGTTGTCAGGAGCGTAAATCAGTACAGGTACTTTGGATCTGCTAAATCTAACTATGTGACTATTCTAGGATTCTATGACCCAGGAATTGGCCAGGAGAAATGAGTGCGTGTGTCTAGCGAAGTATCTGTTCAGAGATGTTGGTAGTAACTTCATTCCTAATAGCTACAAATCGGAAAAACCCAAATGTCCATCAGTGGTGGACTAGATAAATAAGTTGTGGTATATTTATATGATGGAATATATTTCAACAACAAACATATCCTAGTGCTAAGTGCAGTGACCTATGGACTGATCTCACAGACAGCAGTGACAGAAAGAAACTGACGCAAAAGAGTGTACTCTGTGTCTTTCATATATATAGATTTTAAAAGGTGAAGTTGACCTATCGCAATACAAGTCAGAATATTGATTACCACTGGCTGGGGAAGTGGGGCAGTTATTGGAAGCAGCACAATGGAAACTTCTGGAATGCTGGAAAACTTACAGATCTTGATCTAAGTGTTGATTACATGGGGGCACGTATGTTTAATATTCACTGGGGGGTACACTTTAGATTTGAGCACTTTACTAAATACATGTTATACTTAACAGAGCAAACAAAGACAAAACGTTACTAGAGCACTACGGTGTTTCTGTAACTGTACTCTTAGGCCACCATGGACACACATACACGAACACAAGCCTCTGTTCTTCCAGTTACACTGCTGCACGTGTACATTCAGCACACTCACAGACACATAGGGTCGTACCCAGAAGCCGTTAACACAAGGCTCACATATGAAGTCCGTTCATGCCTTTCCTGCAAAGCAGAGGATAAGGGGAGGGGACTGCCAAGGCTCATGTCTCACTCTTGCGCCTCCCAGAAATCTCTCTTCTCTTAGCTTCCTTTCCAGTCACTACAAGAGCTAGAGTCCCGGGGCTGGGTGAGCAGCAGCCCTGCCTGGGGTCTGGGTCTCCATCCCAGGACTCGTCTGCCTGTGGTGCTGAGGTTGTGACGGTTCCACTGGTAGGTGGAGGAGCTGGAGGATTCTGAATGTTTCCACCTGGGAATTTTCCTAGTCCCATTTGGGGGTGATGGGCTTCATCTAACCTCTGGGTGGGTGTCCCAGATTAGGTATGGTTAGCAGCAGTGGGAGAGGGGGATGTCCCTGGATGTTTGTTTCCTTGGCTGAGTGTGGCAGACATAGCCATTGGGAGAGGGAGCTCCTTTCTTTCCTCCCGAACTCTGTAATCTGCCGGAGGGACGTGCCTGGCTTTGCCCTTTGGTGGCATGAGGCCTTGGGTGGCTGGGGGATGTCGCAAAGGCAGCAGGCTCTGGAGTCTGCAGAGTTGGAATATAGGTTCTGCATCTCAGTTGTGAGTCTTGGGTGTGAGATAGTTAAGCTCTCTGAGCTTCATGTTCCCCCTCTGTAAAGTGGGGAAGGTGGCACTGGCTTCAAAGTGCTACCATGAGGTTTAGGTGAGCTATGTAGTGGGACGGCCTGGCTCACACAGGTGCACTGTACTCCCTGCGCTCCCAGGGTCTCCCAGCATTCGCTGCAGAACTTTCCCACTGGGCAGTCATCCTTGTTTCTTGTGGCGTTTGCACCCTCAGAGTTTTGTGTTGGGCTCGTACCCAGGAAAGACCAGAGAGATGTTGTTAAATGGAAGTGGACTCTGGGCTCTGCCCTGTGGGTCATTCCTAGTCCCCTGTCCTCTGCCATCTCCAGGGCCTGGAGGGGGGACTGTTTCCAGGGTAAAGATGAGAACAAGTCCTATAACACTGCATTGCTGTGGCTGCCAGGTTGGGTAATAATAGTATCAATAGTACTTAATTTACCTACAGTCACTGTGTAAGAGTTTACCAAATTCTTTTGTCTGACTCGGTCAGGTTCAGGGTTGAAAAGGATCCCAATTGTCTGATAACCAGTAGGGGTGGCATTAAGTAATTAAGTATTCAATGAACTATTTGACAAGGCCCTGCTCTGGGAGCTGTGCATTCAAAGACAAATACTAAGTGCATTAGGATGGCAGAGTTGCCCAGACAGGCCAGGCTGGGCCCTGCCCTCACCTCTGGCGGCTGGGGAGTGGGGGAAGGAGGGAAAGACATGTGTGAGCCAAAAAAGCTGGAGCGATGAATGCCAAGTAGAGTGAAGCTGTGATGGGAGCCAGTGCCTGGTGGATACTTAGAGCCGGAGGCTTAGGGAAGGGGCGAGGGTGGTTAGATCTCGGCCTGTGGGCTGAGATCTGAATGCCGGGGGGAGGGGGGAGGAGAAAACCTGGTGTTGGAGGGACAGAATAAAGACCAGCAAGGACAGGAGGAAGGAGAAGGAGGCTGGTGGTGAGGAAAGATACCCATGCTTGGAAGGTCTAAGCAGCAGGGCTCACCAACTGACTGGATGCTCTTGGGTTTCATGGAGCAGGTAGGAGGGTATTTGCTGAGGGGCAAAGGCTGCGAGAGGAGCAGGTTGGAGGGGTGTCAGGAGCAGCCACTGAGTGGCCCTTTCCCAGCAATTCATTCTTTCCCGCTGAGTCTGCTTGTGCTCACATGCCTGCATTAGTTGAGTGAGGTAGGTAGGGCAAGTCTCTTGTTTATTATTAATTCAACAAATATTGACTGTATGCTTTCGATGGGCCTGGCGTGATGCTGGAGACTGAGACACAGAGGGAACAAAAGAGGCTTACAGCCTGCACTTTCTTGATTCCTCATCTGTGAACAGGAGTGACCTCAGTACCCCTTTAGCTAATATGTTTTTGATTGTGATCCACTGAATAGGGCTTAACAGAAAACATCCCACACCTTTTTGAAAACAGAGAAAATAAACTACATCAAAACTACAAGCTACAATGACTGTGACACATTGGTAATTCATCATCCCTGGTGTCTCCTACAAGACCTGGCCCAGAGTGGGTATTTATTTATTTTAAAAAAGATTTTATTTGAGAGAGAGAGAGAAAGAGAACATGAGCATGAGTGGGGGGAGCAGCAAGGGAGAGGGAGAAGCAGGCTCCCCGCTGAGCACAGAGCCCGGCGCAGGGCTCGATCCCAGGACCCTGAGATCATGACCTGAGCTGAAGTCAGACGCTTAACCGACTGAGCCACCCAGGTGTCCCCAGAGTAGGTATTTAATATTTGTTGAGTGAAAGAATTAAGGAAAATGTCTTGGTTTCAGGGCTCAGTCCCAGGCCAGCCTTGAAGAAGCTGACTCGTACAGTCATTCACACATTGGAATATTATGCTGCAGTCAAAACAAATGAGCTACGGCACCACGAAATCCTGTGGATGACATTAGTAATTTAACATTAAAGTAAAAAGCAAATCCCTGGAAGGTTACATGTAACACAGAATCTTTTTCATAAGGAACTAGGAAATGATAAACATGGGGTTTAAGTTGAGGCTTATTTTCCAGAGAGCTTCTAGCACATTTCCTGGCCTGGCAAAGACGTAGAATCAATATTTGTTGAATTCCTAAACCTGAGAGACTTGCCTAGCACCCTCAGCAGGACTGGGGCTGTGGGGTGTGGGTGGAAGAGCAGGAGATCTGGTTAGATGCTGCGCTTGTTTGGGGCGGTGAATTAGAAAGGCTTACTACATTGTTAAAGCCTCTAACCAGCTAGAGAGATACAAGGGGGCCCTGCGTGGGCCAACAGAGGAAAATGTCATGGATCCAGGATTATGATTCATCCAGTAGTGTGCCCCTGAGGTTCAAAGAGAAAAAAAAAAAACAGTCTCCTGGCTGTGCTGAGGGGTCCAAGGAGTCAACCTCCTATCCTCCCATCCTCCCGTGCTCTACTCTGACTCTCATGCTGCCTGAGTTCTTCCGTCAAGTGGCCTGCTCTTTGGCTTTCTTGACACCTTTCTGACAAACATCTCCAACACAGTGAGATTAGACATGATGGGTTGCCAAGCTTCTGGGAAGAGGAGCTGTGGAAGGTCACAAGCCTCCAGGGTCATGGGCAGGGAGGGTGGGTACATTGAGGTTTATGAGCAGGGACTGGGGAATATTAGTATTAGTTACCTTCCTGAGCAGGGTGGGGACGGAAATGCATAGCAGCTATGTTGCCTTTCAGCCCAGAATTCATCCCGAGTCAGGGCTGGGAGCGGAGGGAGATGGGGCTGAGAGATGAGGTAAGAATCTTACCAGATAATGTTCAGGAACCTGGCTATCCCCCATCCCTGGGTGAGTTCATGCCGTGATCATGGGAGGCAAAGGGTCTCTGGGGACCATTCCAGGCAACTTCCTAGTTTCCTAGACCAGGGAAATGCTTAGCCCTAGAGTTGGTAGAGGGAAGGCGCTTGAGAGACCACGAAACACCCACTGTGCACCTCCTGCTTTGTTGGAGGTGTCTCGGTGTATCCCCAACTTGAACTCAGCCCCTGGCCACAGCTGCCACAGCCTAAGCCTAGCCCAGGCCCAGCCAAGGCACCAGGCTTTCCTGTGGTGTTGGGTTGCTGGCTGGGTCAGGCCTGTCTGCTGTGTTGATTCAGTCAAGCTGTGGGGCCCTGACTCATGGGCCCAGCCTAAATCCTGTCTGACCTAGGGGTTCATCTGGGAAGGAAGCTCCTGGATTACAATGGGAGGACAGAAATGCTAGGCCCCCGGAGCCCAGAAGGGCCCAACTGGAGGAGGAAGTTAGAAGGTAGGTTTTAGAAGGCTGAAAATCACCTAGTGATGGCCTGTCTCACTTAGAGAATTATCTTTCCCTGCTTTTTAGTTGGTTGCTGGTCACAGAAAGACATCAGTCTGAGACTCATGTGTAGAGGCCAAACAATTAACAACTGCATTTGGGGATGAGTACAGAGCTTACAATATTTTGCACAAATGCTGTCCCATTTAATCTTCAGAACTACCCAGAGAAATTATCCCCATTTTCCAGAAGAGAAGACCTAGCCTCCTGTAGATTTAGTGGCCTTAGAGCAAGTCAGGAACAGAGCCAGATCTTGGAGGCGAGGGTTTTGGACTCTGTGGATTATTGTTTTCATTCCCTCCCAGTACCCTCCCCATTGATATGCAGAGATTACCCCCAGCATCTCCCCAGCCCTCCCCATCTCCCCAGGCAAACCCATCTCTGCCTGGTTCTTAGCTCTGCCAAGTCTTCCATCAGCAAGGGTAAGCATACCATCCCAGAGTCTGTCTGGGGAAGGGCCCATGGCTGTGCTGGGCCCAGCAGGGCCTTCACTGTTATTAGCATCCCTCCTTCCTCTTATCAGCTCTTCTTCTTCCTCTGTTTATTTACCCTCAGGTCCTGGTATTTCAGATTTTGGAGAATCCTGGTTGGGTTTAGAGCTAGCTCATGGGGGATGAACCCAGGCCCCGGGCAGCTCTTATTTTAAAATGAGGATGAGCATTAATTTGCTGCAGAGAGACACGAAGAACCAGCCTGGGGAGTGTAAGTTCTCATATTGCCTTGTCTTTTGACTTGCTTGGTGCCTTTTGGGCACATGCCTCAACTTCTCTGAATTTCGGGGTTCCTAGGGTAATTGGAAACTCTCAGAGATGGTAAAGCAGATAAGAGGGTTAATAACCATGTGTTGAAACAGGCAGGTGCTCCACCAGGCTCATAATGAGGCGAAGAAGAGGTGGCAGCTCACAGAGGCCACTGGAACAGAAAGTCTGGCCGGTTCCTTTGTCTGCTTTCCTTGCCAAGCTGCCTGCCCCTGGGTCTTATTTTTCTCTTCCTCTCTGCACTGCTGTCTCTGAGCTTCCTTGTTCTGGAAAGAACTCAGGGCAGAGCTCAGATACTGGGGTGCCAAGGAAGGGAGAAAAGCAGAGGCTTGCAGGAAGCTTTCTGGCTCTGCTCTGGTGTGCAGCAGTTTTGGGCTCCTGTGGGGGCTTCCCATGGTCCCTCAGGGGAAACCTAGAGGCAGAGATGCTGCTGTTGCTAGGTGATGGGACAAACAAGTCCTTTGTGGCCCTGGCAGGTGGCAGCTAGGTTGCCTAGGCTAGGAACACAGCAGGGGGGAAACCCAGGGGAGTGGGTGGGGAAAGTTCTTTGGTGATCCAGGAGACCCAGATGCTGTTCCTAGTCGGTGCTCAGAGCAGGGCTGGGCCACTGGCAGGCTCAGGTGCTTAGCGGTGGCTCTGAAGGGGCCTCTCACTGCTCTCTGACCCTGACCCTGACCCTGCACTCCACTCCGACCAAACAGCAGGTGGCTGTGCGCTCTCCACCTGCAGGGGCGGGCAGGACAGTTGGATGCCTTTACCAGGCTGGGGCAGGCGCCTCCTGTCTTGGGTGCTTCAGCCATGACAGGTAAGGTGAGGAGAGGGGCCATGAGGGTGCGGTGGTTGTGAGTCAGCAGAGGGACAGGTAGGAGTTTCCCTGAAATGGGCCTGGCCCTGAGTACATGGAAAGATCTTGGAAATGGCACATCACGCTGGCTCTCAGGGGTCCTCTGAATGAGTAGCCTGTCTCCAGACACATTCCCCTGCCCGGGCCACGCACAGGTGGGTGTCCCAGCTCTCACGTGCCGGGGCCTCGGCGGACCTTTGCCCTTGCTCTGCCTGGCGCAAGGCGTCCCAGCAGCTCGTTTTCCTTCAGGACTGACCTCGAAACCTTCTGAGCCACAGAGGTGCTGACTTGTTGGCAGTTTGAGCTGAACACCTCAACCCCCATTGTAGTGCACTCCGGGGCAGGGCCTGGGGCAGCCAGGAGGTGTCAGGTGGCCTGCCATTGTCCTGCTGTCAGCCTGCTGGTGGGCTGCCCTCCGTTAAGGATCAGGTTTTGTGTCTAGGCACAGTTCCCCACTCCAGGTAGGGCTGTGGGAGGGGGTGTGGGTATAACTATTCCTATTCCACAAAAGGGGAAGCTGAGGCACGGAGTCACCATGCTTTCTCTCTCCAGGTCACACGGCAAGCCCAGGTGAAGGGCAGGAGTGAGGTATTGGTGCATGGTGGTGGGTTTGAGTTGAACTTGCCTCCGGGTAATGTTACTGTTACCTGTAACTCGTACAAAGCCCTCAGATGTCCTTCTCTTGGTGCCCAGGGGAAGGAAGACCATTCTCTGCAGCCTGAGTTCTCCACAATTCTACTTCTCTCAACTTTCTGCTCTGGGGTGGGGGTCAGTGAAGCCCCCTCCCTCCCAGGAGGGTCTGTTGGAAAGGAAGATGCGTCCCCCACCTCCTTTGCACAGCTGAGGGTGGCATGTGGGCAGTGGCTGAAGGGGACACGAGAGAGCCATCGGGAGTCAGGCCCCTTGGACCAAAGGCGACCTGCAGGGGTTTGCCTGACAGGGACTCTCCGGGGTTTGCTTTTAGGAGGGGCTGCTGGATCTTAAAGCTTGGGGAGGGGGGAGTGTTCTCTAAATGCTGCAATTTACCTGAACTAAAGAGCTTCCACCCAAGGCATGGCCTGATATTTATGAAAGAATCCTAGTTTGTTCGCCTTCGAAAAATCACGCTCTCTTCTGCTTGTTCTGAACTGTCCTTTAAACTTTGAGGGAAGTGGCGTGGAGGGAAGAGGGGCTCTGGCGTTCTAAAGTGGAACTCTAGTATACCTGCTGAGACGGTGATTTGGGCAAATCACTGGGCATCTCTGGGACCCTGAGATGTTTCTACCTTTGGAAGGGGGTGTGACAAGTTCATGATAAAACTGGAGAGTGAGAAAGGTTCTGGGAGGGGCTCCAGCTGCCAGTAACCACGTGCCTTTTCAAGGCCACAGGAGCTCTGTGTGGTTCTCTCCTGGTTTTACAGATTTGTTCATGGTCCCCCTCAGATGGTTTTCGCAGTTCAGGGGGGTCTCAGCTGTGCTGCTCATACGAGGGTGGTCCCGTCCCTGTTCCTTCTGAGCTCTGTGTTAGGAGATCTGGCCTGAATTCTGCTCTGCCCCTTATGAGCCGTATGTTTCTGGGTAAATGACTTAGTTTCGTCATCTGTAAAATGGGTAGATTGTGATCTGCCTCCTGTGGTTGTGAGTATGGATGATCTAGATGACACACGTGGTGTATCTGACCCAGGGCTTGGCGTACGGAGGAGTTGAGGACCTGAATATTCAAACATTCGTGCCCTCAGCTCCAGTTACCCTGGAGGGCTGGGGAGCAGAAGAGCACCCGGCGTTCGAGGCGGGTGTGCACGGTGGCGTTCAGGGGCAGGACGGAGTGTTCTCACTTGTTTTGCATGCTCCCGGGGAGGCAGCCTCTGGGGACCCAGCTTGGCTGTCATGGCGAAGAGCTGCCGTCTCCTGGCAAACGTCCTCAGCTCCTGGGTCTCTCTTCTCAACTCCAAACTCAGGATCCCTTAAGAAGTGCTGCCACCATGCCCAGCGGCTCCTCTGCACCTAGTGCTGCCCAGTGACATCACTGATGCTCCCTTGTGCCACTTTCCTGCCCACCCAATAACTCCGTGAGGCCACGTGAGGGCTTCCTCTCTGGGCTGCGGTTGGCTGGAGGAGGCTGTGGATGGAGCACAGGCCTCAGGCCTGGTGTTCAACCGCTGGGAGCCTCAATTTCCGGTGTGGTGTGGTGTGTGTGTGTGTGTGTGTGTGTGTGTGAGAGAGAGAGAGAGAGAGAGAGAGAGACGATTGATTGATTCCAAGTCTTCTTAATGAGGCCAGAATATGCATATCCTCTAGCACATTGCCTGGTATACAGTAAGAATGCACTAAATGCCAATAATAAAAACAACAACAATAATAAGACTATCTTATCCATTTGGTGAAGCCTGTTCTGGGGGTTGGTTATACAGCAGTGAGTGAAAAACGCAAAGGCCTTGTGCCCATGAAGCATATTATGTTACTATTTCTTATTAGTAATTAGTAACTGTTACCATAGAACCTAGTAAGTGCTTGGCATAGCACAAACTCACAAATCCTTTCTTATCTGTGGGAAGAGCCTGGCAGAGAGCCTTGCACGTGCATACCAGGCATTGCACAGATGGCTGTTGGTGTGATTTCCCAGGGCCAGGGGCCTGTCCTCAGGAGGGAATTGGGCCCTGGAGCACTCTGGGCTGAGAGGGGTCAGGGCAGTTAGGGGTCCTGAGATGATGTCACCTGACCTCCGCAACCTCTCTATGAACAAGTGGAGGAGGCTGCAGGCCAGAGAAGCAGAGACCTTTGGTAGTACAAATGTGGTCCTTTAAAATGGGTAGGGACATCTCAAGGATGCAGCCAAAGGGTTGCTGAGGATCAGTGGGGGACATTACAGAAAGACTTGTCTGTCTGTCTGTTTTTCTCTTTCTCTCTCTCGGGAAGGGAAGATCATCTAAGCAACAGAAGGTGTGTGAGTAGAACTGTCCACGATAGACCAGGACAAGGCCAGAGAAGGGGCATCCCTTCTGGCATCCCAGGGGACTTGGTGGAGACCTTTGAGGTTGCTACAAGAGGATGGAAGCAGGACAGGAGTGGGGGGGCGGTCCCAGGCTCTTTTCCACATGGGTGTTCTGTGTTAGGTTTCAGTGGTCAGTGGGCTATGAGGCTAAAATAGTTTTGGGGAAAATACCGACTACTTTGAGAAGACCTCTAAGGTCCTTTCCTGAGGGTCTGTGACTTGGAAGAGCTTATTTGTTGTTAGCCTGGAGCATCTGTTGCCCCCTCCCACAGAGGAGACTAGTCCTAGGCCTCATTTAATTATCATTTCCTCCTTCTAAATCAATTTTCTATCCTTAATGATCTCATGGCATCTTGGGTTGTTTCCCTAAGCAGCCCTGGATATGAAACTTCCTTCGTCTTCTTGAGAAAGTCTCAGTTAATTCTGCCCACTGGTTTTTCTTGTCTGTGTGTTCACTTCCTCCTCGTGATCTTTGGTAGGCTAGTGAGGGATGAAGTCTCCTGGAAGAAAGGACATCATCTTTCCTCCACTTGGCTGTGTCAGCTGTACAGTCTTCATTCAACGCACACTTTATATTATAAAGTAGATCAGCTTCTATGTAGGGAGATGGTTCTGTAGTTACTAGTGCAAGTTCAGTTTCAAGGTCTAGTTTCCAATTGAGGTCTATGGGGTCACATCTTGGTGGAGGAGGAGGGCATAATGGAAACTTTGGGCACTTGATACTGAAGTCTGAGCTTAGAGCTCCTGTCTTGACTCTTGGCAGAATGATCTTTTCAAGTCCTCAACCTCTTGTGCCGTGGGATTTCCTCATCTGTGGAATGAGGAGCGTGATGTCTCCAAGAGTTGGTATAAGATTCAGGGAGATTCTGGTTGTGAATGTGCTTCTCAAGCAGCAAAATGCTGCATTTGCTGCGTTCAGTAGGGACAAGATGTTGCTGTTGTCATTCTCTTTAGACCACCAGGGAGTCGTACCCACCAAGAGAGATGCTCCTAACAGCCTGGCTGTGCCTGCCTCCCTGGGGATCCAAAATAGGAATGGAGGCCCCAGTGTCAGGGTGGGAAAGGGACGGAGGTGAGGAGGGGTGACCTCAGCTGCATTACCCTCTCTGTGTGGACATCCGTGGGGCAGCAAGTGGCCTGCCCTGCGTGGGGTGGGGGAAACTCTGTTCCATCTGGGAGTACATGGAACTGAGAGCTCTGATTGTGTGTATTCTCTGAATCTTCAGGCCTCTTCCCAATGCCTAGCACGCAGTTTATGCTTAAGGAACACATGCTGTATGAGTGAACGTATATTATGAAGGAGGAAATTGAGATCACAGGAAATGCCTGGAGCTATGGTGGGCTTGGCCAGACAGGTGTGCAGGACATGTCGTGATGGGAGACTGCTGGTATGCTAGGCACGTGCCACCTGTCTCTTTCCCTCTCCCTCAAGCGTTCCATTCACCTGCTACCCTAGGAGAGTTTCTGGTTGCATGTGGATTATGCCGGGAAACTGGCAGCTGCTTCGGGAGGGAGTGGTAGGGGAGGGGTGTTGCGGTTTTGAGCCCTTTTTACTAATTTCTCTGCTGCAATTGTGATTGTCAAGAGTTGTAGGCTGGGAGGTGGAGGGAAGCACGTACCGGGGGGATTGCCACATTGCTTCTGCTCAGTCTCTCTCTCTCTCTCTCTCCCCTCCCTGGGGCTTCCAGGCAGGCTCAGGCCTATCCCTTTCTCACCCCACCTTGGTAACAACTCTGCTAGAATTTGGGATCTTTTCCAGTTGGACTTGGCTAACTTTGTTATCAGTGTCAGATAAATCAGCTGGTTGTGGGAATTCAGTCTTTCATCATTTATTTGTTGTTTGCTCACAAATATTTATCCTGTACCTGCTGTGTGCCAGGCCCTGTGCTAGGTTTAGGGCCAACAGGTGGACAAGACCCGGTCCTTGAGGAGCTCACCATCTGGCGGCAACAGATTTAGACAGAACTGTAGCAGATAAATGCAATTTAGGTTGTGGGGTGGGGTTCACTGTCTTGGGGAACCGTTGCGTGGGAATTTGAGGGGTTTTACTGAGTAGATGTTTTCATCCGATCAATAGGGAAGGCTGGGGGAACGGCTGGGAAATCTGAAATGCAGATTCTCAGGCCTGAGAGCATGTGTCTCCTGCCTTCCCAGGCTGGAAGGTTTGTCCAGGGTTCCTGAGTCCTGTTTTTGTCTCTTTCCCCATCTCCCCACTTACTACATCCCTACCCCTGCCCCTGCCCTTGGAATCAGCTCCTCAGATGTTCTTAGGCTGTGTCAAAGAACCAGGCTAGGGAGTGCAGGGTGGTTGCTGCCCGTGACTGCTCGCCTTTGCAGCCATACACCAGGAAGGCTGGAGGGAGAGAGGCCAGGGGCATGGAGGAGACCTGAGTTCTAGACATTACCCCCTGTCAGGAGCCGGGCCTGGGCTCTCTCCAAAGGCTGCAGGGGAAGGGCCCTGGGAGGTGGAAGGGGGTCTGGGGGATGTACTTCCACGTTCACATCTGCTGTTCACTCTGTCCAGAACAGGCCCTTCTCCCCACCCTCTGGGCTGTGCAGCCCAGGCTCCCCGATCCCTGACAAGGCCATGTCCCTGCCCGAGCTCTCACAGCTCCTGGTGTGTTTCATCACACCACGTGTGTCAGTAGTTAACCGTGAGTTTGTGTGACTGTCCCTTCCTGCCCTCCACCCCTCTGGACACTGAACTCCATGAGGGCAGGACTCGTGTCTGCTTTCTCTTCCTTGTAAGGCTAGAGCCAGCACAGAGGACGCCCGTGGCCCATGCTGTGGGATGAATGAATGGTTGGAGCTGGATGCTTGCTGCTCTGTCTGGTAGGGAAGGGTGGCCTGTACCAACTTCTGGACATGGTTCCACCTGGAGTGTGAGACTCCGGCAACCGCTGGAGCACCTTTCCTCGGGCACTGTCCGGGCCCACTGAGCTCTGTGGCTTGGCGGGGGACCCTGAACCCAAGCTGGATGTCGGGACGTGCGACTGCCCTGGGAGATCCAGCCCTCAGCTGTGTTCCTCTCTGCCACTGGTGCTCGCCGCTCCAGCCACAGCGCCTCCCATTCCCCCACACTGTCACTCTTACTGTTCACATGCTGTTCCCTCTGCCTGGGATACCCTTCCTGCCATCTCTGCCCAGAGAGAGCCTGCTCATCCTTCAAGGTCCAGTGCAAAGTCCTCTTTCTTCTGGGATAGCTTCCTGACTGCCCTTGAGAGAATTCCCTGCCTTCTCTGCTCTAGGCGTATCTTGCAGTCCTCCCTGGCATTAGACTTGCCACATTCTCTCACCATCCTTTGCTGAAGGAGCTATCCTCCTTCTGGATTTTGGGAAGCTGCAGGGCAGAAAGTAGGCATTGTACCCCTTTGCCCCTCTTCCTGCCTGGCGGCTGGCCAGTTATAGGGGCTGACTCAATGGTTAGGTGGATGGAGCTACTTTGGGGGTCACAGCATCGAGCCCCTTGCCCAGATAGTGAGGGGATAAGGGGAGCAGGCAGGGACCTAGCCCTTCCTTGCCTATCTTGCCTTCTAGGGTCTTTCCAAAGCCCAGTGGGCTGCTGACTCAGCCTGAGGTGGGCCTGTCCGTGCTCCCAGACCCCCCCACTGCCACAGGTGGGCCTGCTTGACCTGCCATGTTCCTGAGCCCAGCCAAGCCTAGCAACCCCCTTGGGCTGAACCAGCTGTCAAGGAAAGGGGGAGAGGGTAAGGAGGACCTTCTTCCTTGGGAGCATCTGGGCCAGAACTGACCTCAGGTGTTTAACACTCTGCTCTGGTGGCTTCTGGTATGTTTGGGGCCTCATGCGCAGTAAGGAGTCAAAACCAGGATAGGGAGGCTTCCCTCTGGGGCTCAGCTGCAGCCGAGATCACAAGGGACGCATTCTCCTTGGGGACAGAGCTTGGGCTCAGACCTCTGCCCAGGGCCTTCCTCAGCTCCTGCTTTCTGTGGGCCCACCCAGTCATGCCCAGTTCTCAAGAGAGAGCCACTGCTATGAGGTAGCAACCGTGCAGGACTGGAGTCTGTCCAGGGCGGGGCTGGCAGGGGTGAGAGGAGGCAGGGAGGGGTAAGGGAAGGGAGGGCTAGGCCTGGGCATGTGTTGTTTCACTGCTCCCCAGGGCTGGAAGCTATGCTTGTCCCAGCCTCATTAGAGGGAGTGACTGGGTTATTAGGCACAGGTGGCTTAATGGCTAGCTCAGGGGCCTGAAGCTCCCTGGTCCTACGCGGGATCCGGGCCGTGCTGCTGCCTTGCCTCGGGGGCCTCAGGCCTGGCCCCCTGCACAGTGTGTCCACCTGCCCTGCCTCCTTCCCTGGCTGGTGAAACTCTGTGTTGGCCTTGCCACCCACAGGTCCTTTCCTGGAGTGGATTCCTCTCGAGTCCCATGTCCTTGCATTTGTATGGTGCTATTCTCACTTTGTTAGCCCAGTCTTTCTGCCAACCGTGTGCGTGTACAGGGTTGGCATGGATAATGTTTCCATTTTACAGAGGAAGAAAATGAAGTCTCAGGAAGAGCAAAGTCTCTTAAGGGAGCTCATAAGGAAGCTGGCCATTTGACCTTCTGATTCTATAGTTTGTGCTCTAGTTAACGGCCCCAGAAACTGCCTCCTGCTGCGTCACTGCCTCAGGAGACACCCAGGTCTCCTTGGTGCCACCAACAAGTGCCTCACAGCCTGGAAGGCAGGTAGGCACTGCTTCCTCTTCTTTCCTGAGAGCCCAGCAAGATGGAGCTTCCCTGCACACAGGCTCGGCTTCTAGGTGCTTCCTTGGATGGGGTTGGGGGAAGCTGGCACTTTGGTCCTGGCTAAGTTACAGAGTAGCAGGCAAGCCCTTCCCCTTCCTGACCCTCAGCTACCCCAGCACTGGGGCTAGAGTTTTGCCAGCCTTTTCAGGGGAGTGTCATGGGTAGTGCTCAGGCAGGGAGTCAGGAGACCACCGCGTGTGGGACCTTAGCCCATCACCTCTGTTCCCCTTGGACAGAAAGCTTCCCTTCCTTTTCCTTCCCTCCCCTGTCATTTTTGTGTTGGTCTTTTGGCAGCTGCAGCATCTTCGCCAGCAATCAGAGAAGGAAGATTCCCCAAGTTGCACCTCAGACCCGGACCTTATTTCTTCCCCTCCCTGTCCTCAGGTGTCCTCGAAAGATATGATTGATTCTTTTTGTCCCAACTCAGTGAAGAAGCTCTAGGTGTTCAGAGGAGGAGGATACAGGGCATGGCCCAGAAGGAAACCAAGTGGGTGTCCACAGACACCTTGGATTGCTTTGAGGCAGCTGTCCATTGTTTGCTTTAAGAAGAAAAGGAGTTCGTTTCCCCAAGGAGGTGGCAGAGGGCCGTCATGACAGCCCCTTGCCCTTGGCAAAATAGTGCCAGCCTCCAGACAACAGATCAGGAGACCTTGGATGAAAGAACAGGCAGGATTTAGGAGGGTAGTCAGAGAGGGGAGGCCTGGTCTCTGGGTCCCAGCTTCCTTGGTGCTGTGGCAGGGGCTTTTGGCCAAGGGTGGAGGAGGAGGTCAGGCAGGTGGGTACTGAGATAGGTAAGGGCCAGAATGTGGGGGTGATGCGGTATGACCTCTTTTTTTAACTGGGAAGGTGTTACAAAATTCTCAGGCTGCTTTAAGGGCCCTTTATGGGAGACCTGCCCTCCCCCAGAATTCAGACCAGAGGGCCCCCACACTCACCATGCTGGCTCTGTGATCTTCCAGATTTCTCTATGGGCTGGAACTGAGGTAGGTGGCTCGTCAGGAGGTGGGCCTCCTTGGATCCGGCCCTGGCTGGCCAGCAGGTCAGAGGTCCTGGGGCAGTGCTGGCTAGAAGAGGCCTTGGTCCCACATGCCTGGCATCCGTCTTCCCTTAGCACCCTAGCCGCCTCCACTGCTGTATTCCAGGAGTGATTTGGGGACCTCGGGGCCAGTTGATTAAAACAACCACGTGGGTGAAGTTGCCAAACTGGAATGATGATGCCTCTTGTAACCTGACACCTATCCTAGGGGCTGGCACACACCTGGAGTCATTCATGGCCCTTTGGCCTCAGAACAGGGGACACGCCTTAGATGTTGCAAAAGCAGCCTTCCCGCCTGAATGACTTCCACCCAGCCCAAGACAGCGGGAGGCTCCCTTTTTCTATCTCCTTGTCATGGGACTTCTCAGTGTGTGGGTGCTTCTGACTGGGGTTGTGGAAGGTGGAGGCGTTTGGGGTGTTCCACAGAACTGGTTTGTTGCCACGTGGGAGCAACAGGAAAAGATGAGCTACGAGCACTTCCCTGGCCCCCCGGTGCATAGCTGGCAAGTGCGGGGCTCATACCCAGCGCTCCCACCAGCACCCCTTCCCAGTGTCTCTTGCCCATCCTTCTGGGTGATTACAGATTTGATATCTTGGCCCAAGGTGCCCTCCTGGCCAGGGGATATACAAGGTGACACCTTGAAGCACAGAACCAGAGAGCTGGAAGGCACCCGAGTCACTGTCTTCTCCCAGTCCTCCATGTTGTGGGCGAGGAAACGAAATTCCAGAGAGGCAAAGATCACACAGTACATTTGTGTCAGATACAGAACCAATCCAGATCTTTAGTTCCTTGGCTTTGAGACCCTCCCGGAGACCAGCCCAGGGCAGATGCGTGTCTTGGCCCCTCTGTGCCAGGCGTCTCTTTAATTCCGATGCAACTGCGTGAGGAAACATTCTGTTCCCATTGGACAGGTGAGGAAATCTGAGCTCACGGACATGAAGTGGCTGGCTCCTAAGTCATCCTGAGGTTCTGGCAGAGCTGGGATTTGAATCTGGTTCTTCCTGTGAACAGGCTGGATGCAGCCCAAGTGTCTGAAGCCCCATGTCTGTGGTCTGGGGAAGTATGGCTCAGGGCAGACTGTAGTGGTGTCTGAGCAGAAGGGGGACAGATTTAACTGATGGTTGGCCCCATCTCAGCTGCTCAGTGTGGCATGGCCTTGGATTTGTCTCTGAGCAGTAGAGCCCCAAGGCGGGTCTTGAGGCTCTCTAGAGCCAGCATGTCAGCAGCCCTCCCACTGTCTAGGTCAGTGGGCTTTAGAGCTGGAAGTCTGGGGCTGAGTGCAATGCTTCTGATGTCAGGACAGGTGAGTTCGGGGGACAGGCTGCAAAGACCTAGGCAGGTGCTTCCCTTTCAAGGAGGACTCCCCTAGTCAGACAGTGAGAGGCCAGTGGGCCTCCCTGCACTAGCGTTTCCCCAGCCTTCGTTCTTCTCTGTGCCACAGGTTTGAATCTGCTCACTGGGCACTCAGGTGATGAGCACCCCACAACAGTGCTGCTGGGCGGGCCAGGTTGGAGGGGTGATTCCTCCACCCTTCTGACTCAGCTCTGGGCCCTGCTCCCAGGTGGGTCCGGGAGCCTGGGGAGTGGCAGGGGCTGCTGCGGTGCCTGGAAAGAGGCTGTGGGATCTCCAGGTGGAGGCACAGAGGGCCCACACCTCCCAGGAGCCAGGCGGGAACTACTGCTGTGCCCCCCCATTCACCCAGAGGCAGCCTTAGCCCCCCACTCAACCTCCTCCTGTCCCTTGTCTGACCACTCTCTCTCTCTTCCACCTGTCTCTTTAGAGTCCCATCCTGGCATCTGCCACCTCTCCCTTCCTTTTGTTTTCCTCTGGTCTCTTCCTCTCTCTTCCTCTTCCTTCCTCTTCCTTTTCCTCTCATTTCCAGCACATGGGTCAAGGTCAGAGGCAGTTTTGCCGTGAAGCTAATGCAGCCTGAGCTGGGTCATCCCTCTCCGCTGCCCACCCACCCCTGGCTTCTGCCTCCCTTGCATAGCCTGTCTAAGGCGAAGAAAGGTCCCAGTGATTTGTCCACATGGGCATAGGTTATTGGAAATTGTGCAGCAGGTTTTTGGTATGCTTTTTCTGAAAAAGGGCCCCTTGAAAAGCGTCAGGCCTCATAAAACTGGGCTCTCCCTCGGTCAGGAGCATGGGCTCTGGGAGCCTGGAATCCTGTGTCCTCATCCCAGCCACTGACTGGGTGACTGGCCATTTTAGTCCATCCTCCTGAGCAGTGTGTTCCTCCTCTGTAAAGGGCAGATGATGACAATACTGACCTCATGAGGTTGTTACATGGTTTAAATGAGATAGTCTCTGTCTGGCACCTAAAAATAAAAGCTTCATGAATGGAACCATTATCCTTATTTGTTTTGCAAAAATACATTTGTGGAGCTCCTGTGAGGGCCGGCTCTTGTGCTGGGTTCGGAAATGAGAGACATGGGCCGAGCACACCCTCTGGGAGGTGCTACGATGCATCTGTCAGTCATGCTGAGTTACATAGGTGTCCCAGCGGAGGTGGAAAGAAGACTCTTGGGGGTTCAGAGATCCTTTTTCATCATTTACTACCCTCCGCTTTATTTCCTTCCTTCCTTCCTTCCTTCTTTCTTCCTTCATTCCCCTCCACCCCAGGACAGGACATTTTTACTTATATAAATGTCATTTTTAGGAGAGTGTATTAATTGTCAGTTGTTTTGATTGCACACTTGGACTTCATATCAACAACCATCTGCTCCTCCGCCTAACAATTAATTTTCTGTGGTGTTAAAGGCACTGTGGTGGGACGCCTGGGTGGTTCATTTGGTTAAGTGCCTGCCTTCGGCTCAGGTCCTGATCTCAGGGTCCTGGGGTCGAGCCTTGCCTAGGGCACCCTGCACCATGGGGAATCTGCTTCTCCTTCTGCCTCAGTCTTCCCAACTGTTCATGCTCTCTCTTGCTCTCAAATAAGTAAGTAAGTAAGTAAGTAAATAAATAAATAAATAAAATCCGGGGGCGGGGAAAAAAGTCACTGTGGTTAGAACTGTGCTTGGAAAAAATAAATAGCTTGTGTCTTAACCCAGTCTGCCCACGTACTGCATTTCTCCTATGAAAGAAGGAGCTTCTGAGGCCAGCAAGCCGCCTAGATCCTTCCTGCTCAGGGTGTGTCTGTGGCGCTTCCAGCATCCATGTATCTCCTTGAACTTGTTAGAAATGCAAAATCTTAGTACCACCTTTGCCCTGACCGACCTACTGAATCTGAATCAGAATCTGTATTACAGCATCCCTGGGTGATTCGTATGTACCTCAAAGTTTCAGAAATGCTGTTCTAGATCTCTTCCCACACTCAGGAGTGGGTAGAGGCTGTTATTTCTGGAATGAGCTGAATTTAGACTGCAGCTTGCCATAGATGAACCTTTGGAGTTCCTTCCAGCCAGCAGAGCCTCTGGTTCTTTGCTCTGAGCCCAAGTCATTTGAGCTCAGTTTCAGTGATAGACTCTTCTGCTAGGGCCTCTTCTGGGAAGTTCCAAGGAGAAGGACGCAGGCGGCGGGCACGTGCTGGCACCAGCCTCTACCACCCAAGCCAGCAGCTCTGGAATGCGGCATGTGGGGAATGTGGCATGCATCCGTGGGGACAGAAGGGGCGCCTTGGCTCGCTGTGAGCTGTGCAAGTGTAGCTCTCTGTTGATTCGCTGACTTTCTGCAGAGGATTTTCACTGCTAACCAACTCTTCTCCCAAGACATGGTGTAAGCCTCAAAGCCATGGACTTAAAGCTTCATTTATCTGCACTGGAGGGAGACTGGGGATGTTGAAAATGCCTGATTCTGGTGGATCTCTGTCAGGTGGGAGCTGACTTTCCTTTTGTAGCCCTTGCTGGGGTGAATTCCACTCAGGCTGGGAGCAGGGGGTGAGGGCAGACAGGCATATATGACAGAAGGACGGGTCACATTTGCTTCAAAGGACCACAGAAGTGAAAACTTGCTGACACATGGAATGGGTTCCTGCATGGCAGGCTTTTGTGCCTGTGCAAAGAAATGCATTACTTCAGACCTCAAGACCACCCTAGGATGTGGGTGCTGCCGTTACCTCCATTTACAGAGGGGGAAACTGAGGTGCAGAGAGTGCTGGGCCCTAGGTTTGTGTAACCTAGGACACCTGGGCCTTTTCTACTTCCTGGGATGTAGTGCGTCATGCCTGCAGAGCTCTCTAGAGGCCTCAAAAAGCCACTCAGGCCCCCATAGCACCAGAGCTCTGTGTGGGTCTGCCTGGGCCCTGGGGACAATTTCCACATTGCCCGTGTAATTTGAAATTGGTCTCAGAAAAATACCTTGTCATTCGGCCTTCTCCCCTCATCTTAGGCAAAGAATGAATTTCAGGTTATTGCTGAGTCCAGCCTTTCTTTCCATCTTTCTCTAGAAGATTCTCTGTACTCCACCTCGGAGCATCGGGCAGTTAAAAGAAATGGGGAGGGCAGTGGGGATGGGAGACATTGCATTTCATCCTAACTGTCCTATAGATCTGAGACCATGAGCATATAGGACTTGGATGATTTTTTTTTCTTAAGAACCTGACTAGAAATTAAATTGTATAGATGAACATCTTACTACATTTTTATTCTCAGGATCAATATCTTGTACATGGCATAATCACCATGCATGGCTTTAACCTGGACTATGAGGGCTCTGTCGCTTGCCGGCTGTGTCACCTTGGGCACATTCATTCACCTCTCTCTCCCTCGCTTTTCTCATCTATAAAATGGACGACAATAAAAAGACCCACCTTCTACGGCTGTTGTGAGGATCGAGTGACTTAACATTTGGAGAGTGCTTACTGGTATGTGGCACGTGGTAAGTGCCATGGAAATACTCCAGGAAGGTGAACATGAGAATTATTTCAGTTATAGTTAAATGAATCATTACCTTCAGAATGTGTTTTTGGATTACTGTGTGCCACATATTCTGCACATGTCATTCATTCTTTAATGCTTCGTCACCAC